GGGCGCGGGGTGGGGGTTGGGGGTGGGGGTGGAGCCATGACGCCAGGAGCAAGGGGCCATGACAAGCACGGGCGGCGCGGGGTGGGGGTGGGGTGGGGACGTGGGGGGGTGGGGGTGGGGGTTGGAAGTGTGGTTGGGGGTGGCAGGGTGCGTGCGGGGTGGGGGTGGGGGTTCAGGGGCCATTTTTTTGACCAGCGTTGGCAGCCATGCAGGTCGAGGGATGAAGCATGGGTCCATGAGGGAAAAGAATGGGACCAGGAGCCATGGGTCCATGAGAAGCATGGCGGGGTGCGTGGGGGGCTTGGGCAAGGGGAGAGCGGGGGGGGGAACGGTGGTGCGTGGGTGGTGGGGGTAGAGCAAGCGGGCCAAGCGATGGAGAGTGGGAGCATGGACCATGAGCCATGGGTCCAGTGGGGGGCGGGGTGTGTGGGGGGTGGGGGTGGGGGCGGTTGGGGGTGGGGGTGGGGGTGGGGGTTGGGGGTGGGGGTGGAGCCAACCGGAAGTGTGGAAAGGGGTTGGGGGTGGGGGTGGGGGTGGGGTGTGGGGGGGGGGTGGAGCCATGGGGCCAGGAGCCCTGGGTCCATGACAAGCATGGGCGGCGGGGCAGGGTGCGTGCGGGGTGGGGGTGGGGGTGGAGCAGGGGCCATAAATAGGAGGGATGAAGAATGGGACCAGGAGCCATGGGTCCATGAGAAGTATGCGTCCATGAGAAGCATGGCGGGGTGCGTGGGGGGCTTGGGCAAGGGGGGGAGTATGCGGAGCGGGAAGGGCGGATGGACGGGGGGCGGGGTGCGTGGGTGGTGCGGGTAGGGCAAGCGGGCGGGCATGCACTGGGGGCCGGGGGGTGCGTGGGGGGCTTGGGCAAGGGAAGGAGTATGCGGAGCGGGAAGGGCGGATGCGTGGGGTAGGGCAAGCGGGCGGGCATGCACTGGGAGGAGGCATGGGTCCATGAGAAGCATGGCGGGGTGCGTGGGGGGCTTGGGCAAGGGAAGGAGCGGGGGGGGGGGTGCGTGGGTGGTGGGGGTAGGGCAAGCGGGCGGGCATGCACTGGGGGTTGGTCGAGCTTTGGATGGGGTGGAGTAGGTGGTAGGGGCAATGGGTCTTCACTGACGCCGCCCCCCTAGGGGTCGGCGGATAGTGCATATTTCCAGTAGACATGGCTTTGTTAGTTGTTAGATTTCAACTACGGGGTGTCGGGTGTGTGTCGCTGCAAGAGTTCAACATCTACTCGCGGAAGCAACGCGGAAGGGCCTCGCGAAGGGAGGCTAGTGTTTAGGGTTGAGGGTTTAGGGTTTAGGGTTGAGGGTTTAGGGTCTAGGGTATTAGGGTTCAAACATATTTCAACATGAGCATGACACCCGTCAGAACTACTTGTAAGTTGGCTTTTGCTGCCTCTGAGGGTAAGATGTCCTTGTCCCAAAAAAACATTGATTATATGAGGCGAAGCTCATCAGACTGAGTTGGCTGTGGCTTACTACCCCGAAGGGTGACAGTTGCGGCATCGGCTATGAGTCTCTCCATTGTCACCATCTGCATTGATGGGAGGACCCTCAAGTGCCCCAGCGCAAAACCCCACAAACCCCGACATGCCTCCACACAAGCATTGCACCTTGAACCCCAAACCACGGAGAATTCGCCAAACTCTCAAAGATCTACATCCCAAATCACTTGGTGTTCAGGGTTTGGGAGGTATAGTCTGGCTTTTGGGACCCAAAGCTCCCCTTGAACCCTACACTCGCCTCAAAAGAGGCGGCGGACCTGTTCAAGGCCTTCGACCCATGGGGTGCCTCGCTTGACCAGTGGGGATTAAAGGAACCCTCGGGCTCATCAGGGTTTAGGGTTTAGGGTTTAGGGTTTAGGGTTTAGGGTTTAGGGCCTAAATTGTAGAAACCTTGCATATAGAGGGTTTAGGGATAGACAGTATGGTCAGTACGGCGCTTAAGACATGCCGACAGAAGCCTTGGACTTGGATGCCCAGCAGTGCCCTTATCCATTCGCGGCGTGGGACCTATCTCTAGCCTTTGTCTAGGGTGACGTGTGCTGGTACTTGTGAGGTCTCTTTGGAGGGCTGGGGTGCTTCTTAGGATTCAGAGGGCCAGGATTTGACAGCTAGGGACCAAGAATCTCAGGTAGGTGTCATGATCATGGTGTTGTTTTGTAGGAACTTGGGCTGCGGGCAGGTGCAGAAGTGAAAACTAAACTCTATAAACCTCAGAGCCCTTCGTCCTATCCTGACGCCCAAGCTTGCGTGTAGATTCTGAGCCTAAACCGTGTTAAAGCAACTATATATATATATATGTATTATGTGCATATATACACGTATCTATGTGTTTTTGTCTCTGCCGGGTTTGGGCACTTCAGGGTTTAGGGGGAAGGGCGGGAGCTGGAGGTGGGACGAAGGCGGGTTCGGATCATGACGTGGCGAGTTTGGAAGCGTTAAGCAGCAAGGCTCTGGGGCTTGTGGGGTTTGGGGTTTAGGTTTAGGGATTAGGGTTTAGGGTCACCAGCGTTGGGGTGTTTAGGGATCAGGGTTTTGGAGTTCAGGGTTTCTTGATGAACAGCAAAGCGACATGACGCGCAGCGAGACAGTCGCAAGGCAGCGTAGATCCCAGCATGCGAAACCCTAGACCCTTAAACCTGCCATGATTCTGTCAAACTCTGCGCTGCAACCGTGCGGCGAGAATCTCCAGCCCTAAACCCAAATTGCAATCATGATGATGATGATGATGATGCTGATGATGATGATGATGATGATGATGATGATGGCCGTGATGATGATGACCCTAACCTAAGGCAAGGGTTGGCTGCCTCTCCAGCGCATGATGGAGTACGAGGCATTGCCTTCACGAGCGGGGGGTTCCGTCTTAGCAGTTTGGGGTTGGTTTGAGGACGTAGGGTGCGGAGCTGCAAAAGATCCCCTAGGCCTTATAATCCCCATAATCAACCCTATAAAGGGCCCTTTCCAGGGGTCATAGGGTATAGTAGCCTACCCCGGAAAGTTAAGCTCCCCCGGATCAATCTGCAAGGTCCTGCGTCTGGGGTTAGGGGCGGGATCTGGTTTGATCTTTGGATTTCCGCCTCCTTCCTGAAGAACGTTGTAAGAGCCCAACCTTGAGACCAGAAAGACTTCAACCCGTCAGCCATATGTCCGAAGCACACCGAGCTCACATAGTTCTGAAACCAGAAGAGGGTGTTAAAACCAAAATGAGGGTTAGGATTTAAAAAAACACAAGAGGTTTAGGGTTTTGAAAAAACTGAAGAGGGCTAGGGCTTTTTTATCACCCTATTCTGAAACCAGATCTACGGCATCGATTGGCTGCAGCCATCAGTAAACGTGGTCGGGATCTCAGGACGCCCTAAGCCTCTTGAGGTCAAGCTTTCTGGCCTTTAAAGTGGCATAGGAGAACCCTGAACCCTAAACCCTAACCCCTAAACCCTAAACTGGGTTACGTGGGCGTAGGGGGCCATCCTGCATCTCAGAACAGCTTCACAGGCCCTGAGGATTCCATTGAGGTGGTTGTGCTTTTGGCTGTAGCTTGGCCTCAGGGGGCTCAGGGTCCAGTATCTGGGCCTCAGGCTGATTCAAGAGGTCTGCTTGATTGCATACTGCCAGAAGAGGTGTTGCTTCTTGTGGAATCTATAATAAGACTGCACCCTTTCGGGAGGCTGGTGGCTAGCGCTGTTTAGATGCCCTGCCTTTCCTCCCCCATCTCGTAGACGGGGTCGAAACATGCGCTGCGTTGCATTACCCCAGAAGACTCTTCCTTCCCGAGCCTACCTGGAGGTTCATGGGGAGGTATAAGTGGGGTTATAAGTTGGGCAACTATAGTTAAAACTGGCTATAACCTTACTGAGGGTACTCAAATCCCTACTTGTAACTACCCATGAACCTTCACTAAGTGAGGCCACATCCCCTCGAGCATCGCGATCCCCGCGGACGTCGCCGAGGCGTTTAAAAGATAATATAAGGTACCCCTCCGAAAAGTGGAAGGTCCATGGGTCCTTAGAGAGGGCCATAAGTAAGGCTCTACTGTACGTGTTTCCTTTCGCAAGGTACATCATAAATCCCTAGTTCTCAATATGTATATATATATACACATTGATTGTTCATTGATTTATCTCTAGCTATTCATTTAAAGTTGATTTAGAATGTGTACGTACGCGTACCTATACTTGTAGGCTTCGTCCATCGTCCTTGTCGAATCCTCTCATGCGACGCTCCATCGCAACCCACCTTGAGGATCAGAGGTCTCCTTCAGCAGTTTCGGAGATGGCCTTGTCTCCGAATCATTGCGGTTTAGGGTTTAGGGTTTAGGGTTTAGGGTTCAGGGTTCAGGGTTCAGGGTTCAGGGTTGGGGGTTTAGGGTTTATTCTTGAATGCTCTTTACGTTCTTATTCACTCTTCATGGAAACAATCTCGGATCTGCGGCCATAGGCCTAGCTAACTCGATCAGACGCGCGGTCAATCCTGGGCGTTCGTCGAAAAAGCGACGCGCGCTACGCAATCCAGGTTCGAGGTCGCAACATGACAGTGGCACATTTAGTTTGCGATCGAAGTCACGGGCGAAGAAGCACTCTTTAAAGACGAAAGAAGTTCAATTCGCCAGCACTTACTTCTTGGAATGTTCAAAAATAAATCCGAATTTACACATTTCCTTCGGTCCCTAGTTCTCTCACTCCGCTAAAAGAATATACCAAGAAGTGCAACTCTGCCTGGCAGTCGAACAGTCGCACATGGTTGGTAGGGGAAGCGAAATGACCCGCTACTTCTTTAGAGGTGTGAGTTCAATTGATTACCCCCAATGGGTTCTCAGAGCCCGGCAAGTTGCGTTGAATACGGTTTAGGGTTTAGGTTTTAGGGTTGCTGGGGAGTTCGATGGGTCTTCTGCAGGCTGGTGATGTTGAAGACTTGATCTGTGATGGATGTTCTATCAGCAAAGGTGGCGTCATGAAGGCTCAATGCTTGCTTTGTGAATCACTGCCCCACCGAACAGGAGTTGATGCTCGGACATCCAACGCTTGACGATGATTCCTCTGAGGACATGGACGCCTGGTTCAGCAACACAGTTGCTATGATGAAGCCGACCTCGCCCGAGATTCTGCGGGCCACGCCTGCATTTGAGACGCTGCGATTTTTGGCCCAGCCTCTGCGCGCTCGACAGGGCGACTTCTTTGGGCGGAGCCAGGTCACTACCAGCATTGCGTCCTTTTGGTCGCACAGTTGGCACGGGTCGACGTGGCAGAAGATCGCCTTTCTCTTCTTCCTGAACAATGGTCCTGCAGCTGCCGCAGTGAGCTCGGCTTCAGCTGTCCTGGCAGGACTTCTCTATTGTTTCCGGTTATTGCCCAGCATTTTTGGGCACCTGGGGTGGTGCTCGATCTTTGCGACCTTCACGTACGTCTTCACCTTGTTTTTTTGGCGAAGGCGGCAACTGGTTTTTCTCGACAGGATCTGCATCTCAAGCGACGAAAATCTGAAAGCAGAGGCGATGCTCAGTTTGGGTGCCTTCTTAAGACATTCTGATGCGATGCTCGTCCTGTGGGATCCGACCTTCATGGACCGGTTGCTAAGAGAAACTTGAATACAACTTTTTAGCCTTTTTCAATAGTTCTCAGATTTTGTACAAATTAGGACACTGCTATACGGTCCCAAGTTCCCCGTAGGTTGTGGTGCTTGCTTGAGCTGGCCGCCTTCTTACACAGCCGCAAAGAGGGCTCCAAGATCAGGCTCACCATCCGCCCTACGGTGTTGGGCCCCTGCTTGCAAGTTACGGTCTTCTCCTTGATCGTCTTCAACGCAGTAACCACGTTTGCTTGGGTCCTCATAGACAGCTTCTGGTACTTCTGGCTGGGCGTTCTCCTGCTGTCAAGTGTGAACTTCTGGCTCACCGCTCACATGGGTCGTGAGTACTGCCGGTCTATAGAGAAAGTGCGAGACGATATTGCATTTTTCAGTGTTGACAAGTTGGTGAGTTGGTGCTGTTGCGTGGGGCACAAAGATCCATCATCGGGAATGCCAGTGGCATGTGACCGGACGATCATCTTTCACTGTATGCAAATATGGTTTGGCACAGTCGAAGCCTTCGAGCATCGAGTACGGTCAGATGTCCTTCGGATCCTCGTGGATCAGCTCTCTAATCAGGTCTGCGGGCACTCTGTGATGATAGGGGTGGGACGGCTTGCTACATTTGCAAGGTTTTTGCGTTGGAGGGGCCATAAGGGAGAACAGGAACAGTGAGCCTATATAACCCCACACCATAGTCACAGATGTCACAGGTGCTTTCTTATGGGCAGCTGGTCACGGTCACGGTGCCCATAACTTGGGGATACCTTGACGTTGTCTTCGACCACTTCTTGGTTGGCGAGTATGCGGAAGGTGTACACAGCCTGATGCGTGGATTGACCTACGGCTTAGCTATGTCTCCGTCAATGATATTACTCATGTTCCGGCTGGCGTACTACTTGCGGAGGAAGCGGAGCCTGCACCTGCTAGACTGGCTCGTGTCATCGCTCGTCATTCTTTGCGGGCTTTGTCTTTTTGTCTGCTTTGTCGCATGGGATCTGTCAACTTTCACCGTGCTGCTGCCGGAGGCTCCAATCGTAGCCGGGCTGCTATTTTCTGTGCCCACAGTGGCTGTGGCACTTTTGGTGTGGAGAGTCGTGCCCAAGGTCAAACTTCTCTAGCTCTCTTGCGCGCCACTGAGTGGCCTCAAGTTTGCAAGTTTTAAGAAATATTTCGCATGGCTGCATGTCTCAGCTTGGCATATGACATATTATGTTCTGTGCTTATATCATTATAGGCTTTTCTTCTGTGCTTTTTTGGCTTGGGTGATTTGGCCTTCTAGTCATGGAGGGAAAACAAAGAAATGACAAAAAGGAAGCGCGATGCCAACACAACTAGCTCCCTTCAGCTTGCAGCCACGCCACCCGATTGTTTCACCCATGCATCACGAGCCAAGTGCTTTAACAGCACATCGCAGCATCCGAAGTGGCATGACTCGCAAGAGCTGTTCCACGTGCTGTGGAAAGGCAGTTTGTGTTTAGATTTCGGCTTGGTTTCCTAAACCCTGAACCCTAAACCCTGAACCCTAAACCCTAAACCCTAAACCCTAAACCCTAAACCCTAAACCCGTGGGAGGCTTCGAAGTTCAGGTCAGGGCTTAGGGTTGCTTCGGGTTTTGGGGGTTCAAGTCTGGGCCGGCGCTCGGCTCCTTGGCTCAACCGTTGCGACGGCAGCAGCTTTCTGAGGAAAAGTTAGGGTTTAGGGTTTAGGGTTTAGGGTTTAGGGTTTAGGGTTTAGGGTTTAGGGTTTAGGGTTTAGGGTTTAGGGTTTAGGGCCTGTGGTGAACTTGTAACCTTAAGAGTTTTGGATTGGGATGTTCCCCCTTATACTAACAGTCCTCAATAGGGATTGTCTCATAAGAGGGGGACTGTTAGTATAAGGGGGAGCATCGCAAGTTTCGAACCTCGATAGAGTGGCCCGGGCCCACTCCAGCGCCCTCCCCGCCCCGGCCATAAAGGGAGGGGACTTGCTTAAAACGCCCTAAACCACAAACCCTCCCTCTGTCCTTCCGGTCAACTCTTGAAAGGCTTTGGGGATGGTCTGGGAGGAGGTCTTTTGAGTCGTCCTCTGCAGGAGCTTCTTAGACCCCCCCCCTCCCCCCCTCCCCCCTCCCCCTCCCCCGCCCTCACCCGCCCTCTCCCCCCCCCCGTCCGCCCCCTCGCGGGGAGCCCCCCCCTCGCCCCCCCTCCCAGACTGCTGTTTCAGTGCGGAGGTCCCTCTCTGCAGCGAGCTCTCCACCTCCCCTCATGGCGCGGAGCTCAAAAGATGATTGGGGCATACAATAAACATATATATATATAATGATGTGATATTAGTATTAGTATTATTATTGTGTATATATATATACACATATCATAATGTTAATAACACGTGGTGTGAAGAATGTATAGTCACAGATACATCAATCAGGGTTCCATTTTCTGCCTTGGGGGTGGGAGGGGGGGGGGGGGGGGGGGGGGGGGTTTGGATTTGCTGCTAATTTTGTTCTCAGCTATTCTCCTCCCAGGGGTCTCTTTTACTCTTACTTTATTGTAGTAGTTGGTATTTTGTTATGATTGTCCTGCATTAGTGTTCTGTTAATACCATATTAGTTTTATGATGTTATTTGTAGTTTGCCTTACGTTTTTAGTGCTCATACTCTATTATTGGAGTACTTCTGAAAATGGTACAAGAATCTGAGCTGCTAGCAGCCGGAATCTAGGAGTTTGGGTTCTGAGGTCGGGTGTTGACATGTCCTTGACTGGAGATATCGTCAGACATGGGAACGTCTGCCAGCGTTTGGCTTGCATACGTGCGCCGGGCGACCGACGACTCGTTCGATGAGTTTTCTTGGCTGTCCATACCCTAAACCCTAAACTACCCTAAACCCTAAACCCCTAGTGTTAGATGTCAAAAGATGGTAAACTGGTTCTAGTCTTCGTCGCGACACCGGCGTGGACTGGAACAGGCCGATCCAAGCAAGGCAGATGCCTCGTTTTTCAACGACTCACAACTTCCTGAGCTTGGGATGTTCCCCCTTATACTAACGGTCCTTAATAGGGATTGTAGTACCCCCCCTAGTATCATCCCATCATCCCTATTAAGGACTGTTAGTATAAGGGGGAGCATCCCAACCCTGAGCCTTCAAGCCCTTGTCCATCCTGAGCAGCTTAGGCTTTGCGAGTATGGGTTCAGACAACATGCTTCTGAAGCAGCACAGAACCTTTGAACCCAAAGGCCCACATGCCCCGAAGCTCTAAGGCTGAAAGTTAGTTTGTTAGTAGGCTCTAAAGCCTTGCGGTTCTGCCCTCACAGGATCGCGCCTCGAGATCGCGCTCAAGAGGCCAAGAGCTGAAATGAACTTCAGACTGTCAGAATTTGTTTCTCTTCGAAACAGCCCAGTCGCCCCCCCCCCCCCCCGGATGCAGGGTTTAGGGTTTAAACGGTTTAAGGGTTTAGGGTTTAGGGTCCCTCCCCCCTCCCTCCCCCCGCGAAGAGGCTTCTCGCCCACGGCAGCCGAGGTTCAGGCCGGGCTTAGGGCTTTTCAGGAGTTTAAGGGGGACCCTCAACCCTGAGCCATTTAAGCCTTTAAACCCTCAACTTAGGGATACTTGGGAAATGTTTTTTTAGCAATTTTGAGTACTGTAATTCCTAAGAAACAGCTTAAATTATATTTTGTTTTGCCAGGGTTCCAAGTTCAGTCTATTCAAGCTGATAGGTAACCAGTCAGTCGGCCGGGAGGGGGTGGGAGGGAAGGGGGTAAGTCTGCATCTTAAGGCCTTCAGATGGAAAGACTGTTGTGCTTAGGTGATTCAGACTTGAGTTCTTGGGGGGGTCTGTCATGGTTACTTGAAGGTTCAGGGGGTAGTTATAAGCAGGGATACAAGTACCCTAAATAAGGCTATCTATAACCAGTTATGTTTATAGTTACCCTGCTGATAACCCCACTTCTAACTACCCCTGGACCTCCAAGGAAGGAACTGCCCCTTCCTCCTCTCGAGTTGATGGCCAAAATGCGCCCCCGGACACCACCACCGAAACCACCGTCGTATCCTTAAACCCCCTGAACTAACGAAAGGACCGACCTTTCTTGACATTCCAGAAGCATGATGAGCCCTGACCACTTCTACGCCATATTTTTAAAAGGTTGTCGTGTTCCGGATCGGGGTCCAGGGTTTGGGGTTTGGGCTTTCGATTTCTCTCGAACGGCTGAGTTCAGGGTGCAGGTTCATGGGCTCTAGACTTCAGGCTTAGGGAGGAGAGCTTAGTAGTTCAGGATTCATACCTAGGGGCACTGCGTGATTAGTCAGCACGTTGAACTGCAGCCTAGATGAGGGAGCCCGCAATCCTTGACCCGAACTCCCCTCCATAAAGAGCAACTGCAGACTTATCGAGGAGGCTCTGGAAGAGTATATTTGGGGTAACTCTGAGCTGCGCGGTCCGGTCCCTCAGTCCTTAGTAAAGCATGGCGCCCTTATCCTGGAGACCTTTGGAGACCCTGCGAGCACTGCCCTGCAAGGCACTCGGACTTGTGCCACCTGGGTAACCCTGTAAACCCAAAAAAAAACTGGCCAGGAGAGCTCCACCTTCCTCTTCTCGGACCCTGGACGCTTGGATGGCCCTGTGCCAGCCAGCCCAAGGTGTGGGCTGAGGTGTCTTGGGGTTTTAGGGGGTTTAGGGCTAGGGTTGAGGAGTGTTTTTGAGTGGTGCTGTTCAGGGTTTGAGGTTTGCATGGGGGCTTAATTCGGGCTGAGGGTTAGGATCTTCTTTGGGGGATGAATGGAGTAAGAGCGATGGAGTAGAAGAGCGAAAGACTCAGAGGCTGCATACCTTGCATCTGCTTCATATGGCCTCCATGGTGCCTTTTAAACATGCCCTGCAATGCCTTCTGCCAACATCTTCTCTGTAACGCTCAGTATGTTGCGATGACCATCTGCACACTGCCCCCATCGTAGAATAGACCTAGGAACGGTTGCATGCCCGGCTTGGCTTTAGTCTCGGTGTGCGTGCATGAGCTGTCGAGACGAGAGAGGCTTGCGTTCGCAAATGTCCGTCCCGCAATGCGATTGTGCCAGGCGTCAAGCAAGTCTCTCGCCAAAGAGTTCTGGATCACCGAGTCGCTCGCAATCGCCAGTGCGCAGGGCCTCAGCACAGATTGGAGCCCAGGTTGGATGATCAATTTTGTTGTTACTATCCCTAAACCCTAAACCCGAATGGGGTACGTGAACAACCTTATAGCGCAACGAGGCACGAGCGGCTCTATGTGGCCAGGACCGGATACCAGAGGCCTCTGTGGAGTTTGGAGTTTAGGGTTAGGGTATAGGGTTCACATAAGGTTTTTTGGGAATTTGGGGTTTAATGAGGAATTTAAGGGGTTTAGGAATCTTGGGATTGAGGGGTTTGAGGTTTATGAGTTCAGGCTAGGGATTTTGGTGGGATTTCGGGTTGAGGTGGTAGGAGTACAGGCCTTGGTTACATAAAAACAGTAGGCTTACAGGTCTTGGGAAACTGACCGGGCATGTTTCTGGCCCTAGTTTTCGATATAGACATCTCCCTAACCAAAAGTACCAATGAAAGTTGGCTCAGGCGTTTGGAATTGCAGGGGTCCATGTACCTATATAGTATATACTTGGGCCCTAAAGCTACTACATAGAACCCCCTTTTAGACCCAAGTATATACTATATGGGTACATGAACCCTTTGGGCCAGGTCTTCAGGAAAGATGGTTTTAGGGTTTCGGGTTTAGGGTTTAGGTTTAGAGTTTAGGGTTTAGGGTTAGTGTTTTACAGGGTTCAGGAGGTTTCGGTCGAGGGCTTAGGCGCGAAGGGCAGCATGGCTTTGAGTCATGAGGAGCCATCTTTCCACGACGTGAACTGCAGCGTTCTTGTTTCAGTGATAAGTAGGGCTGTAGGCACTCTAAAGAAGGTCATGACCCAGTTCGAATTTTAGATACCCTGCTTATAACCCCACTTATGACTTCTTCTGAACCGAATGACCAGACTATGTCAAGATCCATGCCTAGGTTCCGTTGCTGTGAGCTCTTGTCCACTGGCCCGTCTCAGGGGCCAAATGGCTAAGGCCAATACATGGAGTTTCACCGGTATACCGGTAGTTAAAAGTGGGGGTTACAAGCAAGGTAGCT